ATACATCCATATAGGTACATACATATATGTATATTTATATTTTACAACAAGGTAAAGCGTGAATATACGCTTGTAATTTTACAAACTTACAAATTAAAATAACACATGACAAAATGGTATCAAATAATATGTTGTATAGTTTTATAATCTTCCATACACACAGAAAGATAGTTCTTTAGCAATTTTTAAACTTATAGAGTCTCTTTATTATGAATCGACATTCAATTAAATCCAACTTCTTTACTTATTTAAGTCATATTACTTAGACAGATTGACACGGTTAATACTTGACTATTTAAGTAATAGGAAATTAAACAGTTCTTTATTACGTCACTCAAAAAGTCACCAATCTTTCTCTTGATCAATCATCACGCCATTAAAGCCAAGGTATGGATGTGGCTTAGTGCTGCTGTTTATAACATTCTACTAACCTATGAATGGTTATAGGTTATTCTGTGGTTATCCTACTTACACCTCAAATCTACTTGCCATGCTGGCAAACAATGGAGGCATACATACATACTCGTATATTTTAGTGGCTTTGCATAAATGTCTAGAGATACCCTTGGCTTTTAAGATGCCCTTCAAAAAAACGATAAGGAAGTGAAGGATTAGCAGAAGTAGATCACGAAATTACTTGGGTCTTTTTCGTCATTCGAATTCTAGAATGTCGTTATTGAGTTGTTATTGAGTCGTTATTGAGCTAAAGTGGCTTTCATTCGCATAACCCCATCTCTTGTTATTGCAAGCACCTCATTAAGCTTGAGGTTGGCTGCCAAATCATCACCAATGATGTCCCAAGACAGTCATCCTTCTGCTTGTCAGTTGAGGTGTCTGCCTCAACAAGAGTTATCTTTTTGAGGTGATAATTGAAGTTTCCAATACTGACGTTGTTTAGTGAATTTACAGTCTACGATTTGAATCTACGACCTACCAACGATTCCATCAAGCCGTCACAATGGAATACGATGCTCTAACCAAAAAGGTATTTAAAGCATCAGTTGGAGAAAAAATGCGTAGAAAACAGCAATCATCACACTTGATATATAAGACTCTATAAAATATTCATAGTATTTAATATATATTTTTCTATCGTAGGTTCCTGTTGGCTTATGTTGGCGTGTTCTTATGGCAAGTACAATCTATACTTTTTATTATGAGATTGTTTTTCATTATAATAAATAGTATTATTATCAAGTCAATAATAAATAGTATTATTTATTATCAATAAATAGTATTATCATATTATCAAGTTTATTACAATTATATATTATAATAATTATATAATAGAATAGAATGAATTCGTACGTAAATTGCTGTTCAGACTGACGCATGAAACTTTTAAACTGTTAACTAATTTGGAACGAATAAAGCTATTCAGAGCGACTCATTTGTTTCGTTGAAAAATGAGGCGAAGAAATTTTGTTTTTTTTTTATAAATATATAAAATGCATACCATAAACCAAACTGTAAAAAAATTCCAAATTTTAAATGCACCCCAGCGTTTTTTTGTTATTTAATTTTTAAAACTTCAAACATTTCAACAATAATTTTTATTTCACTTCTAAATAAGTTTGATTTGTTAATTCACAAAAAACGTGCTCAAACGAAACAAATGTGCCAGTGTGAACAGCATTTTACTTAAAAAAACTTAAAACAAAAAATTTAAACGTTTCATATATTATATTATAATAAATCAAAATAAACTTGAATATTTATTTTGAAAAATAAATTTTTTTTAAATTGTTATAATAAGGCAATGTCAGTTCGAACGTACTGTTAATTTTAATATCGTAAATTACTCATTGTCATTTTTCTAACTTGATTCACATATCAGAATCTGAATTATATTCCTCAAGCAAATGGTAAGGTCTAATTCTAACTTCATAAATATTTTTCTGTTTATAACAAATAGAATACATCAAAATATATTTAGAATTACAAAAACAAACTATCAATCAATACAATGTTTTCATATTTCAGTCAATATCTTTAAATATTAAAACCAAAACAAAAACGATGTTAAAGAATTTTAATGAAAAAAAAAAGAAATACCATGCCGGCAAATATTTAGATTATTAATATTTTGGTTTGTTTACTATTCTATATATAATGTATATATAGATTAATGTCATATAATATAATATATTATATATATATAATTAATGTCATATAATTTTATATGACATACATATGTTTTGTTTTTATACCTATCTAATGAAAATGTCGATTTAATATTTCGTCTTATCGCTGCTTCTACTTCAAATAAATAATAATAAAAACTGTAATATACTCAAAAATTTATATTCATGAATGATTGATTTATAAATATTTTTATAAGAATAGAATAGAATATATGATTTATATGGTTTATCAATATATGGTTTATGGTTTATCAATACCATTTGTATACCTGATATATAACTAATTTATTAAATTATTTATTTGTGATTTATTATTATTTATTTGCAGTAATATTTATAAATTTTACATTTATGTTACAGTACGGCCACTAGAAGTTTCGATTTGAGGCGAACAGCTAGGGCGTTCGATGATCAATTTTTTAAAAGATATACATACATGTATAATTCAATTTATTATTTTATATATATATTGAAATATAATTTCATATATTCAAATAATATTTAGTTATAAGTTACTTTGTTAAAGATTGTGGGAGAACATAAAAAACCAAACAAAATGGAAGAGCAATAGATGAAGAAATTGGGTCGCTTTAAGGCAATAGAAATCTGATTAATATATGTATATTTCAATCAAATCTTTAAATTATGAGCTCAGTTAAAACAAGACAAAATTTTGATCAAAGAATGAGTTCCAATTAAAAATTTTGACTCATATTGCATCCAAAATGAGTTTGATATACTCTTGCGTAATAGTTATGATAATACCGTAATTTTATAATACATAAATCTATAATCGTAACTGTTGAGATACACTTTTTTAATAAACCGTCCGTCTGTCCGTCCACATTTCATTTAAAATTTGTTAACATTTATAAATATATAAATAAGAGCCTCTGTACTTATGTTATCGAAATAAAAATGTTTAATTCTTAAAAGTATACAAACTTTGATCCTTATTTAATTATAATATTTACAATAATAGTAATAATTACTATAACAATAATTTTCAAATATTTTTAAGATAACTGATCAAAAAATTGTATATATAACAAAAAATCTATTTATATTATTTTTTTCGTTTTTAATAAGAATATTAGCCGTACTCATATGAGCATTACATTTGCTAATAAATTCAAATACATAAATAAATTTATATATATTAGATTAAAATGCTAACCATTGTTCATTTTGTTTTCTTTTATTTAAATTAATAAGTTCTTAAAGCTCACAATTTTTATATTTCATATTGTACACAACAAAAAGCATACATATGTTAAAAAAGCATTTAACTAATGTCAATTTGTTTGAACTAGATTTAATGCTGTTTTTTACAACTCTAAAAGAAAAAATTCCAGCTATTATATAAAACTATTATTACTACCCAATTAAAAAGATTATCGAGTCTTTATCTGGAAATATACATATGCATATATATATTTATCTCAAGTTGTTTAAAATACGACAAATATATAAATACGTAATTTTATATTTTGACAACCCTGTACGCTGGACATTCACAATAGCATCATGTGGATTTGACATCTTCAAGTTATTTGTAAAGTCAGATAGTGTTGAAACAATTAATTTCAGCTAATCATTTATATCCGTAGGTGATTTATTAACCATAGCGTACTAGAAATAATTTCATACAATTTGATTTCAATTTTTAACTTATTAGTTTTTTATAAGGATTTATTAATGTATTCATCAAATTATTTTGGATATAAAAATGTATTAAACCGTTTAGCATCGGTATAAAATAATATTTATTACATACAAATGTAATAATGTAATGTAATGTTATAAAAGCTATTTACAAATGTAATAATATAAATATACTCTTGCAGTAAATCTCTGTTCATAATACAAAACAGATGTGAAGAATTTAGAAGTAATTGAAAGAGAATAAGAAAATGGATGCAGTTATTTGTATGCCATATATTATACCATATATTAAATATTTTCCTTTACTCATCAGTAGAAAGTAAATAACTGTTCTTCATTCACGTGACTGCTCCTGTTTATTGTATCGTAGACGATGACAGCATGAACTTTGTTTAAAATTTCAAATAAATTATATGACATGAACTTTTTATGGCGTGATGTGTTTTGTAGTTACCTGCAATATTAAAATCATATTTTTAATTATTAAAGATGTTTTATGAAATTCAATATTAATAGGGGTATTCAGTTGCTTAGTTGATTTAAAAACTTCATATAAAAAAAATTTAGTATTTTGATGTTAATCAGTTGCTTGAACGACCCAAAATGCGTAATCTGATGAGTTTGTTGTGTGCAAATGCCTTGGCAGCACTCGTATCAACAGCAATAGTGAAACGTATGTTAACAGTGAAATACTCAAATATTCGTAAATTTTAATATCATTTAAATTTGTCATATGATTTATCATATAACTAAAATTGCAAACGTGTCATATATCAAGAAGTAGAATATTTAATTTTACACTTTTAAATTATGTTTTAACCCTTTAAAAATTATAATTTTACTGAATTTTATTTATTAATTTATGTTATTATTTTTGCATTTTCTTGTTAAGACACCCTATGCTTGTAGCGCCGACACTTGGTTCTGGCAGCACTATTAATCAAATTTTCACTAATCTGAGAATCTCCGAAATAGTTGATTCTCTGCTTAGTTTCATTTTTGTATGCAAATTTTTGTTGTAATCAACTACTAAGCAACTAATCAGTTGCCTGAATACCCCTAATGTTTTAATTTGCATCTCATAATATATATAGGACTGCTTTTCTTTGCATCTACATAAATGGGTTATATTCGGTTCTGAAGTAATCGGTAATCAAATTTCTTATGTCACTATTGACGATGAATTACTTACGTATCTTCTACATGAACCAATCAATTGTTTACAGGTATTGTTGATGTCCATATGAGTAGAAAAATAATAAATTTCAAAACAAGGAAATGGATAGTTTTTGTGCAATATCAAGGAGAAATGTTTATATTATAACTTTAGTTTCGTTATGGGTAACTGGATACATGCAAGTGACGTTTGTCCAAGCTCACGACATTAAAGATTTCGATGATGCGATTTTGTACAAAATTGATTTTGAAATGCCAGATTTTGAAAAGAATCCGGTAAGAGTCTAACTATTTATAAAAGCGCGGTTAATTTAATTTATTGATTAATACATAGGATTTGAAAAACCATTTGAAAACGTTTCATACACATGAGAAGGAGAAGTACGATTGTGTAATTCCAACAGTAGAAGATACTAAAGTGGAGAAGAAAACAAACGAACCGGAATTGTGTAAGTATCAAATTATCTCAAATCCAAGATGACATATATTTAATTTTTATGATAAAAGCTTTACGAGCTTTATTGGAACCTATATTCTCTTCTACCACTTGCAATTACCGCATTGAGGCATATTGGTCTTACGAGTTATGCCATGGTTCCCACATGCGTCAATATCATGAAGAACGAGAAGGTATAACGAATATATATAGTTTATTTTTAATTTTACATCGTTTTACATTAATAAATAAAACTATTTAGGTAAAACTACAAAATTCCAAGAATATTATCTTGGTAAATGGAGCGAAGAGAAGACTGAAAAGTTAGTAAAGCAATGGGACGAAAATCAAAAAGCTGGTATCAAGTTCAAAACAACGAAAATTGATAATACAAGATATCCGTATTTGGAGTTAGAAATGAATGACGGTACTCTATGCGACATTATAAATGCACCACGTACCACAGTGATTCGTTATGTTTGCTACCTACATGGCAAAAACGAGATTTATTCCTTTAAGGAAACATCCTCATGTAATTATGAAGTTATCATATTAACATCTGTGTTGTGTATGATGCCAGTGTTTCATCCAGAAGAAACAAAGGAAGTATCAATCATGTGCTTTAATTCTCCAACTGAACCTCACAAGCCGCTGAGCATGCTACGTCAAGAACTGAACGATTTACAAACACAACACACAATTGATGACGATATTCCAGTTACGAAAGAAGCTACGACAATTGCACTGACACGTACTACTGCAGCAGGAGATCGATATTTATATTTGAACAGAATTGGCGGAGATGTCGATAAATTAGCGTTGGATATAATGATGGGTGCCGGCATTGATATAGACGGTTCAAGACAAAGTGCATCTACAGGCCTCTCGGATATTACGCCAATAAAAGCATTCATATCTGGAAAGAATTGTTTGACAGGCGTAAGTATTTTCCGAAGAAATGTAATCTAATATCTTTTATATGATTATTCGATCCTCAGGGTTCTGGCTGGTGGAAATATGAATTTTGTTATGGTCGACATGTGCGCCAATTTCATAACGACAAAAAAGTAGAAACTGAAGTATTTCTAGGATATTTCAATGAGCGGGACCATCGGCTATGGATGTTCGCCCATCCTGACAAAGTGCCAACAAAAAATGCTCAATCAATATGGCATCATTATGAAAAAGGTACACTTTGCGATCGAACTGGTTTACCACGTGAAGTGGATGTAAAATTAACCTGTACTCCTGTAACTCAAAGTAGCTCGTCCGTGGCGATGTATTTGCTGGAACCAAAAACATGTCAATACATTTTAGTTGTAGAGTCTCCGATAGTTTGTGATCTCATAACTGTAACTGATGAGTTCGGTTTAGTTAACGATGAAAAATTACAAAAATTACAAAAAATGTCCAATACAGATATAGAGAATGTTAATCTGCTCAACAAATATTTAGAAAAACTATCCCAAACAGAAGACTTGGAGCCAGTTGAAGTGCCAACTCAAATGGAACAAGTCATTCCGGAAAATGTATTAGCTTAGTTTAGTTGTTGTGTAGTCATTTATCCTTAGCATAAATTTATGAACACAATGAGGTTTGTTATTTTTTTTTTTTTTGTTTTTCTAATGTATTAAATTTTATGATTTAAAAGAAATGTGATTTGTATATATTATAATTAATTTGAGTGCAGAACTTTTCGTAAATTGTTCCAAAACTATTAGTGTCGGAATCAACATCGAGCTTCATTGCTTACATGGTACAGTTTTCAACGTTGTCACATTCGGTGGATTTTTAAGCATGCATCATTGGTGGCATTTCGTCTGGACCGATTTCCAGTTTTTGCATTGGAATGGCATTCGTTTTTTCATTGCGAATTTCTGCTGTAATTTGAGTGAAAACCTTTTCCCATTCCCACACTTCGTCAGCTTCATCGAGACTATTCTGTGGTGCCAAGGAATGCAGAAGTACAGTTAAGTTCATATCGGCAAGTGAAGAGAAGGCATTTTGTGATAATAAATCATAATTAAGTTCTTTTAATGTAGCTACACGATCTGTAGGATATCTAAAATGTTAAAATATTTTTAACTGTATTATGACTTAAGATATATAATATATATTAATTGCATAGTATTACATTGGTGGTTCAACTATTTCATTAAGAATAATTTCATCTTTTATATCTTCGAGGTCGGGTATTATTGGTATGTCGTCGTCTGGTGTAGTACTTTTGGTCGATTTCGGAGTTGAAAATTGAAAACGTTCGCTGTAATATAAATTGGTTTTTGTTTTGTACCAATAAAAATATTAACACAATACTTACTCATCAAAGGAACCCTTTTTCGATCTTAAATTTAAAGAAATTATTGGTTTATTTAACAATGCCAACTCAACATACATACTTTAAACCCTTCAATCCACTGCTATCTGCCCATCCACCAGAAATACGACGAACTGGTGGACGTTTTAACTCAGAATCCTTTGAGCTTGTTTGAGGTGTAGCGCTAGATGAGGAATATTGTTGCATATCCAAAGTGATGTCAATTGAAATTTCCTTGTTAGCTTCAGATCCAGTAAAGGTGGGAGTTGAAGATTTTTGCTCGTTAAGTAAATCCCGACTTTTAGATCTGCGGCCTTTACGTGCAGTGGTCTAATAATTTTCATAGATTAAATTATCTCAGCAATAAATTAAAAAATAATTCACCTTTCTAATGGACATTTTTAACTCTTCGGCCCAATCCATATTTCTAATTATTATTTTCAAATTTGTTAAAGTAGTTTAATTTTGATATTTGGCTGGATTCGTTTGTTTTTTTCTGTCAATTTGTTATTACATGGTTGCTAAGCAACAGGTGTGATAAAAAAGTTAATGTTTATGATAAAAAATTCACAATAGATATATACCTGTTAAGAAATATATTCTATGAATTTCAACTTGTTAAGAGAGAGGACGTTGAAACTCCGAAGATAATGGTTAGTGGCACTTTGGCTTCGTAGAAGAGTGCTTCCATATATAAACATTTTTATTTCTTCATTCTTTTTGATTGGTAATTATTGAAGTGCTACCAAAAATCAAGAAAATTGATCGTATTTAATCTGATAGTAAAAAATAATTCAAATTTAAATGATGAGCTTGTTTGTTTAATATAAAAAGTTCTGTTTTGTGTTATATGAATTGATATTTTATTAATTTATAATTCAAATAGTTAAGTTTTATAAGCTTTTTTATTGGACTATTAACAACTTCTTATTATAACAAAATATGTCATCCATATTTTTTTTTGTGAAATTATAAAATTATATGAATAAATACCTAATATACGTAGAAACACAGTATTTTACAAAGATTACTTTATAAATAAGGGATATTTGGAATCGTTGTAGAAATAAGTATGGAAAATGCTTAAGAACAGGTACTTTACTTTTTATCTCTACTTGTATATAACATAATTCTGATTCAATACGTGTAACTTAAACGTTGTAATGTTAAGAAAAAGTAACGTTTCTTCCATGTAACTTATTTGAATCATTTCTTGTCAGATTTATGATGTGAAATCAAATTTCTTTACTAAAAAACTCGTGTTGTATTTAAACTAGCTCTTTAAACCGTCAAATTCGTGTTGTAGATATAAGAAGGAGTAGTACAAAACAGAAATTTGCAATATTTCTTTCCAAATACAATGATGCAGACAATTTATAATTAATCTTTAATATCTCTATAATACTTTTAATAGAATTCAAATTTATAGAATTCATTTAATAGAATTCAGTTGAACTGAAAATAAAAACATATATCGATTTTTTTCGGTTCACTACCGAAATCGAACTGAAATATTTTTTTGATTAAACTGGAATAAGAAAGTGTTCGATTAGAAGCTCTGTTTCGAATTAATTAATTCGTTGTTTATGCTTCTTCCGGAAATAACTTCATATTGATTTACTGTCAAACTGTTGCTGTATTGTCAAACACTATTGTGAACAGGGCCACGGCTACATACAGTATATTTTTGATTACAGCTATTTAAGCCTTTTTCAAATTAAAAATATTATTTTTTTTATATCGACGTAAAAAATATATAAATAATGCTTACGGATACAGATGATGATTTTTTCTATGAAGAGGATAAAATGTAAGTGATTTTAAATTTTGAAATTTGTAGTATTTACATCGTATTTCATTCGCTTGGCCGTGTTGTTTTTTGTTAATAATCAATAATTAAAGCAAAAATAAATATGTTATATACAAATAAACATTTTACTTTTTATACGTAAATAAATATTTATATTTTGTATTATTTGTTTGTACAAATTATATGTACTACGAAATTTTAATTATTAAATCATTAAATCGACACACTTGAAGAGAAGCAACGGCAATCGATGTTAATGTGCCTCTGCTGCTGCAAATCGATGAATTGCCGCAGCCTAAGTAAGTATTGGAGAATAAGTTAATTAAAACCTATGTTAACAGAAAGTATATACGCTAACAACACACTTCACATTTACATCTTCAAAGCGTCAAGACAATGGAACAGCAGCTTGAGGTCAGCAACGTTTCAGAACCATTTCGCGAACATTCCGAACAAAAGAAAATAACTCAATCCGTGCCCACTTGCCAGATAAGCGACATTGATGCAACCATTGTGTGCATGGGTCAGGATACTGTTGAAAAATTCAATGATATTAATAGGCAAAAGTTTGAATTAGAACGTCTGTAAGTGCAATGAACGCATTATTCCAATAAGAAAATTCCATTGCCACAATTTATGCTTAGTAATCTTTTGTTTGAAATTAATGGCGCTTTAAAAAATCCTTTCAATTTTATTAGAGTAAAATCCAAATAAATAATATGTTTGCATAAGAATATAAATACTAGTAAATAGTAATACATATACTATATATATATATATATATATATATATATATATATATTACAAATTACAATATTTAAAGTTATACTGTAATGGTTGTGATACTTTAATTATATTATAGCTTAGAAATTGTGTAAAACAGTAAGAGTAATGCTAAATTGTTATTTTATTAAGTTTGTGCTGTTTATAGGTCCCTAAGACAATTGCAGTCATCAACTGAACTATGTGAAGGGAAAAAGTGTGCAATTTTTTTAACCCTGAAAGATAACAATATCTGATTGATAGCTGAGTCAGTTCAAGTGCCGGAGAATCTTAAATTTCTCTTCCTAAGAGTGTTGTTGGACAACGATCAACACCGCGAGGACAACTTAGTAAATAAACCCTCACTTAAATGTCGCTGCGAATATTTTAGAGGAATATTTTAAACTAAATCACTTATACTCAATCGAAATAGCGTAACCTGTTACTGTCTAAATGTTTATTTCTTGACAAACATACAAATAGATGAGTCGTTTACTGAATAAAAATGATTGCTTATACCAAAGGTAGGTACGATGAATTAAAATGGAATGGATCAAAAATCAACCAAAATTCGAAGCAAACTTGGAATGATGACTGCAATGAAAATTGTTATGTGGGAACCTTTAAATTTATTTTCAAGTTGTTTGTAAACATATAATCAAGATATTAGCGGATGTATATTAGAAAATAGCATTTATTGTTAAAAATAGCATTGTATGGTATAGATAAAATTGAAACACATAGCTCATAGAATTGATAATCTTTATTTATAGTTTGTATAGTTATATATTGGACATGTTATAGAAGTCTGTAGAAATACGATTATAGCTTCTGTTTTGACAAAAACAAAGCCTTACTTCCACTAAATCCCACACATTCAATTATTCGAGTAGTGCTCAAAGATATAATTTATTGGAAATATACGATTTCTGAAAAGGCTTTTGTTGGTCATTTCAGTAACAAGTTCTGAATATTATAGTTTTTTAAATACAGGATAATAAAAACTAAATACACATTAAGCAATATCCCTTAAAAACTACATATATAAGTACATAGCCACACAGAATCAGCACATATTTCCACAATACAACTAGAGCCTAGTGTCGCATGAAGTGTAATAGTTTTAAAATAGTTTAGCTTTTATTTTGTACGTTTATAAAACTTAGTTAAATAATATAGAGTAATTATTTAACTCAATTAATATAGTATATAAAAGATATGTGTGTTTACGAATAGCACTTAAAAGGGCTGGTCTAAAGGTTTTGGAATTTTTAATGAGAAGAAGACTGAATGAACACTCTTAGTTCAGCTCTATGCTTTCTAGCTAGTGGATCATTTTTTTCCTATCATGTTTTTTACTTTGTGGTGAAAAAGGATTATTTTTATTATTTCCCATTTAATTTATTAAATATTTGAATTTTTATTTATTAAATTCACTTTTAAATTTTTCAGAATGGCCCTTATATGTATAGTATATGAATCAATACAATACTTAATATTATAGTTTAATCTAAACATTATACTGTTATTAGTTTTATGCATAATGTATATCAGTATCGAAAGTTGTGTTTGCACCACCTTTTTCACAAATGTACTTATATATTTGACACCTAAATGAGTGATCATTGAAATTCATCAGTTTTAATTTAACTTTAATCAGGGGTATGACCGTAACCACTAACTCTGTTGTCATCATAAAGGACCAAAGTAATTTGATAGGCATAAGCATTGGCGGCGGTGCTCCATTATGTCCTTGTTTATACATAGTACAAGTAAGTGTTAAATTATAAATTGTTTAACAATTTTATGATTGAGTTTATCTTTACAGGTATTTGACAACACTCCAGCTGCTCGTGAGGGTTCCTTGCAAAGTGGTGATGAACTGCTCGCAGTCAACAGTGTGAGTGTTAAGGGTAAAACGAAGGTAGAAGTTGCTAAAATGATACAAGCTGCGTCAACAGAGGTTACTATTCATTATAATAAGTTACATGCCGATCCGGAACAGGGAAAATCACTTGATATCATTCTTAAGAAATTGAAGCATCGGATCGTTGATTCAATGTCAAGCAATACCGCAGATACTCTAGGCTTGTCACGTGCTATACTATGTAACGATTCATTAGTGAAACGCTTGGAAGAACTTGAAGGCACTGAATTAATGTACAAAGGTTTAGTAGAACATGCGCGCCGCATGCTTAAGGCTTATTATGATGTACTGCAAACGTATAAATCATTTGGTGATTGTTTTACCCAAGTCAGTGCACGTGAACCACAACAACGTGCATCAGAGGCATTTCGTACCTTTGGCGAACTACATCGCGCCTTAGAGAAGGATGGCCTAGAGATTATTAAGCAAATTAAACCTGTTCTTGCAGATTTAGGCACTTATTTAAATAAAGCTATTCCTGATACAAAATTAACCGTACGTCGCTATGCGGATGCCAAATTTACATATCTTTCGTATTGTCTTAAAGTCAAAGAAATGGATGATGATGAACACAGTTTTGCTGCCTTGCAGGAACCATTGTACCGTGTGGAGACGGGAAACTATGAGTACAGACTTATATTACGCTGCCGTCAAGATGCACGTAATAAATTTGCAAAGCTGCGGACAGATGTATTAGAAAAAATGGAGTTACTGGAATGTAAACATGCCACAGACTTAAATAGGCAACTAAGGAGTTTGCTTAACAGTTTAGCGCAGTTAAACTCTTCTGTTGTTAAACGAATGGAAAATGTGCCGACTCTATTTCCAATAGAGGTCGACTTTAAGCAAACTGATTTTGAATATAAATCAAGCACACTTAAACCGCAAGAAATGGATGATGATGAAGACGAAGTTGCAAATGGTAGTAGTAATAATGTGCTATCAACACAGTCAACGGAAGTTATCTGTGGTATAGAAGCAATTGAACAACCAGCTGCAGTTATAAATATACAACCAGAAATAGATACGCTATTAGCAGATACAGGTAGTAAAGATGTTATTAACAAAATTACAACGAATGAGACAAGTGAAAGCAATGAACTTTTACTTAAGGAACTTGGACTTTTTGGAGTTGATCTAATGTCAACTCCACAAACTATGACCAAACAAAATGAATTGATTCCTTCCCAAAATGGTGTTTACGATTTTGATCTGTTTTTAAATCAAGCAGCGACAACAACCACTTCAGAACTGGAACGTGATTTAATGTCAACTAATGGGCTGGAAACTGATTTGCTGCTGCAATGAGACCACATATTTCATAAATGAGCTTCATTAATTGTAGATGCCACAATGTATACAAACGGAAACGGAAACGATAACCGATATCACCTCAGTTGCCTAATTTGTATACAAATACAATTAGCTTCAAAAATTAACAATTTTATAGATAGTTCAATTTATAGATAGTTAATTTGTAATTAGTTTGTATTTTTCGGTGAAGCTGTACATATTTGATAATTTTGTCCTGACATTTAGGTAAAAATATGTATATATATATACATTTGTGTAATAAATAAATGAAAAATTATTCATAAATAAAAGCAGCTCCAATTTGTTATTCTTCCATGTTGTTGTTGTTGTTGTTATTGCCGGAGGAGCTTTATATCATAGAAGACATGAAAGGAACTACAAAATACCAACACTTAGGTTAGAATTTGGATTAAATAGGGGGTACTTGAGACCAAGAGGGGCTGTTTGTGATAGGGAACGGATGAGGGATGAATAAGATTTCGTTGGAGTAATGGATTAGACTTGATCAAAGCGAAGAAACCTTGTTACTTTAAGGGGCGGAACCAGAGATCAATAGGGTTCAAATTGGTTTGTGTAGGGCCATATCCGCCATTTGCTATTGTTCTAGATAACACTATTTTAAATGTTAGTCTAGTCATACGCTAAATTAAAATAATATTTTAATTATTGATTAATGTAAATTTAAATTTTGATGTGAAAATTTTATATCACAACAATAAATGAGTTTTTTTGAAGTATAACAAATACTTTTTTAACTTTTTGCGAATTGGCTTGAAATATAATATGTAATTGTTTGGAAACGGTTCTCAAATCTGTTCATTGTAATTAATGTCAGTATCACTTATTATAACAAAATTAACATTTTAAATCACAATGTTTTCCATCCGAGATCAATCGTTTCTTATGTAAATAACTACGAATTTTACTTTTGCAGCTGAATAAATTAAAGTCCATAGAATTATAAATAATTATCAATTTAATTTAATAATAATAATTGAAATATGTTGAATTAAATTTAAAAATTTTTATTTATTCTGCCCTCTAAGCTCTAAGGAATACAACGTTTGTGCTATGGCTTATATTCAAAAAAATTGTCCCGAAAAAAAATTTAAATTATAATTTTACATATATAAGTTAAACAAAGCATTTCAAAATTTTTTCAAATTACAATTGATATGAAGTGCCAACAATATTTGATCCCAGGTTTTTAATTTAAATTGGCAGAATTGCGAGAAGAAAATTGCTAACGTTTGATAACGTTACAAACAACATATAATAATAAATACTTCAGCGTTTGACTTCTGAAAGGCATATACATATACCCATATACCATCGGTTTGTGTAGTGCATTTATTCATATATAACCAACAGATATACAATTTTCAAATAGTTTTAATAATTAAATGAGGAATATTAATTATATATTATATATATTATTAAATTCTATGTCTGTTACATCTGTCTGTTTCCAATAAGCAACGTAAAGCACACGTTTGCTACTGCAGACCACAAATTTGCTATTGTGAATGATAGTTGAACAAAAATATAAGACACAGTTGTCAAACATATTTTTATTTGTATTTGGTTTCTTAAATCTTTGTCCTTTTAGAATATACTTGGTTATTCTTATCTTAAATAATTAAGTACATAATAATGCAGTAAATTTAAACTAATTAGTTTAAACTATTTCGTTATTTACAAGCAGTAGCTTCACATCCATATTGTTGTATGTTTAGTATCTATTCACAATAGATACTGTAATGCAATCGGAGAAGCAGAAAACCAAAACAAATCACGACAACCATGTGCATACCTCGCAAGATATTAACACCGAAAGTGAGATAAATAAAAATGCCACCAAAATCATCGAATAAAAAACCAAACGCACCGTCATGGTTCCACTGTGAGTGTTGTGATGTTCATATAACTGCGAAGGATCGCGAAAAGCATGAAAAAGTCTGTCCTATCGGCGAAAATGCAGTCAAGTGCGATTCAACCCCTCTGGAATATATACGTGATGGTTGCCTGTTTACTGCTACGATTGAACGTCAAACGTTAAGCATTGCTGAACTGCAACAGTTACCCGATAAATATGTCAATAATCAAGTTTTCATATCGGAAGGTGCGATGCAGTTAGCAGGTTTCTATATCGGACAATATGTTTCAATAAGTGTTCCTGGCAGTACAGAATCGCCTATACTAGTCAGAAGTGTTTGGCCTATGCCGGAAAAATTTTTAACTACTGTTTTTGTTACAAATGAAGGTTTAGAATAAACGATTTATAGTTTTTATGAGGAAACTAATATCTGCTAATTTATTTCAGATTTAAAATTATGCTGGCAGTCGTTAAGAGATTGTGTGGTGAAAGTAGAAAAGTTGCCCAATGATTTTGCTTCAGCTGCACAGACAGTTGTATTACAACTGCAAGAGCCTGAAGGTGAATTTACTGAACCACAAATAAAAGATATTGAACGTTTACTAAGGCAGCATATGAAGAACTTGATATTTGCACCAAATAATATAATAAATTACAATTTCTATAACAAAACATTAAAATTAAAAGTAGTAAAATGGTTTCGCTTTGAAGATCAAGATAATGCAGAAAAAAATTCACTTGAGGCCGCGTTTGAAAATTTAACTTTGCATAAGCGAGGAAGTAATGATTTTTTTCGAGTTATAATTGCTACATACGTAAAAGTGTTGACGCAAACACATAATACAGATAGTGAAGGAAGTATCAGGCAAAAAATAACAGTAGCTGACATTGGTGGTCTCGACCATGAATTGGAAACTGTAATGGAGTGTATCGATTTGGCACTGGGTTTCAAATTCGTTCCTTACGGTAAATACAAAAGAAAATTCATTTTTACTATTGAATGCAAAGTTTATTTTTAGGCCTACAAATTTCACGCGGTATCCTGTTGTATGGTAGCAGTGGCTGTGGCAAAACAATGATTTGCGAAGCAATGTGCAATAGAGTTCTGTCCATGGCAGTAGACCACAAAAAAACATATGTGATAAAAATTAATCCCAGTGAATTGTTTAGCAAATTCCTTGGGGAAACAGAGCAAAATCTGCATTCATACTTTAAACAAGCTTTCGATAATTATCCTGAGCCCACACTTATAATCATAGAAGACCTCCATAACTTGTGTCCTCAAAATGATACGAATGAAATCATTAAACGCGTATCAATGGCCTTTTTGAGTATATTAGATGAATTAAACACCAAAAAAGAAGCACAGAAAACTTTTATTTTAGCCACCACCTCACAGGCCAACACTTTAAATGTAGGTGTGCGTCGCTGCGGTCGTTTAGATAGTGAAATTGAGATTAATGTACCAACTCCTAAAGCTCGCATTGATATATTAAAACGAATACTGCGCAATGTGGAGCATAACTTGACTAACGAGGAAGTCGAAGAAATAGCGAATATTACGCATGCGTTCGTAGGAGCCGACTTGGGAAATTTACTATACAACGCTACAGCAAAAGCATTTAAGAATAACAGAACTAAACTAGAATTCGAAGATGTTACTACGTCACTAAGTCACGTCAAACCATCGGCAATGCGAGAAGTGTTAATAGAGTGCCCCAATGTTCGTTGGACTGATATTGGTGGACAAGCTGACCTTAAGTTAAAGTTACAACAAGCCATTGAATGGCCACTACAACATCCTGAGAAATTTGAGCGACTTGGTATAAAACCTCCACGTGGTGTATTAATGTTTGGTCCACCTGGCTGCTCAAAAACCATGATAGCTAAAGCTTTAGCCACGGAAAGTAAAGTTAACTTTATTTCCATTAAAGGACCTGAATTGTTTTCAATGTGGGTTGGCGAATCTGAGCGAGCAGTAAGAGAGGTTTTTCGTAAGGCACGTCAAGTATCGCCTGCCATCGTATTTTTCGATGAAATTGATGCCATAAGCAGTGAACGTGCCGATAGTGGTTCAGGTACATCAGTAAAAGAACGAGTGCTGACACAACTTTTAACAGAGTTGGACGGTGTTGAAGCATTACATAATGTTACAATTGTCGCCGCCACTAATCGCCCAGATATGATTGATAAGGCATTATTACGTCCTGGTCGCTTTGATCGCATAATTTATGTAGGATTACCAGATGCTAGAGCGCGTCGTGAAATTTTTTCCATCAAACTACACCGTATGCCAATAGCAAAGGATGTCGATCTTGATGCATTAGTGGAACAAACAACTGGCTATTCAGGTGCTGAAATACAAGCTGTTTGCAACGAAGCTGCTTTAAAAACGTTAGACGAAAGTTTTGAGGCACAGCACGTAGAGAATAAACATTTTACATATGCTCTAAATGCTGTTAAGCCCCGCACAAGTCCAGAATTACTTCGACTGTATGACGTTTATCTAACACGGCAAAGCTAACACTTTACTCAAATTATGAATGAGTCTAGAATATATTAGCTTATAATTTAGTTTTATTTAATTGTCTAATATAAGCTGGTGGTCTCATGATGGTGTTGACCAGACGAGAAATCTAATATGCCATCTTTTGTGAAATCATAAGCATTCAATGTGGATGCTGAGGATAGAGTCGAATCATTACTACTAAGGCCTACATCAGTTAGTTCTGCGTTCATATTATGCATTGCAGGCAAACTTGGCAAAGAAGACAATAAGTTAAAGTTAGTTTGTGATGGCAATGTGGAAACCAAAGCATCGTTCACATTCAGCACTTCAGCATCATGCAAAAAATTATTCACCAAAGCACTGTTCACAAGTCCAGTCTCCTGTTGCTCCTTGTTGCAGATTTTGTTACTTTTGCTGCAGAAAAATAAAAATGTTACTTAAGCACGCTGAAGCAATTTCATAAAATTTAGCTCACATACTTCTTAAAATGTTTTTTCATGTGTCGCACCAATGCTGACGACTGATTGAATTTCCATGTGCAAAATCTGCATTCGAACGGCTTCTCACCTGTGTGAGTTCTATAATTTAAAAGATTTTGTAAATATATTATTTTTTTACATACATATACTCGTATAATGAAAATTGAATTCATTTTTTTTAAATAAAAGTCTCGTACCTAATGTGGCACACCAAATTGGAACGATTGCTAAACACTTTGGCACATTGTGGGCATTTATGCCGACGAATGCCGCGGTGGACACTTGCTATGTGCACATTTAAGTACCGTTGTTTTGTGAATAACTTTGGGCACATATCACATTTCAGCATATCCTTTAGGTCTCGATGAATCGGTTCATGTCGACGCAGCTCACGCATGGTTTTGAAACTCCGATTGCAGTGCTTACAATTGAAATTGCGTTGCTCCAGATGTGTAAGTCTGTGCGCTTTCAGATTGCTGGAAGTTGTAAAAAAATTCGAACATATTTCACACTGAAAATGTCGCTCGCCAGTGTGAGTGCGCTGATGCAAAATTAAATTACTGGACTGACTAAAACTACGCGAACACAACTATAAAAAAAACCCTTATTAGTTAAAAAATGAAATAATAAAAAGTATAAAAATATTAATGTATATAATTTCAATTTTTATTTGTCATACAAATAAAATATAAATATAATTCTTATATACAATTTAATGTATATAATGTCAATTTATTTTATTTCGTCTTTATGACGAAAATAAACTATTTAAAAGTTAAACTGGTTCGAATAGCAAAGAAAAGACAAAGACAAAAGTTTTAAAGTTTTTAAAGTTTTAAATAGAATTTTTGTCCTTGTCTTTTTTCTGCTACTCGAATCCGTCTAACTATTAATGTATGTATGTATTTAGAAAACATATTTATTACAAGAGAAGAGAATAGAAAGAGAGAATTAACCTCTAATTCGTGTAATTTCATATATATCGTTTGATAATTTTTTTAAAATTAAAAATTCTTCACGCCATGTGTGAAGAATTCTGGAAATATTGAAAGCAGGATAGGGGGGAGGTTATAGGAATGCAATCGGATAAGTTATGAATGTGCGGACAGTACCAAACTTTTTTACAGGTCGTATTTCGTTTAAACAAGTTAGTTGCTTGTAAAAACTATTTGAAATTGATATTTATATCTTTTCATTGTCCTTCTTTTGTCTGTCCTGTAGGATGGAAGCATGATTTAAATACAAGTTTAAGCAGGAGTTCTATGTATTTTAATAGTTCTCTGCACTTGTTGTAGTCGTATCAACTTGCACAATTGCATGAAAACTTATTCTTTTTAAAACATCCCATAGTGTACTCACTTTAATAAAATCCAAAGATCTAAAACAAAGAATTTACATAAACCATATACTAGTCATTTTTTAACATCATTTACGCCAGTAATCAATCTTAAAAAACTTTTATGTATATATTCGTCTAGTTCGCAGAACCAACTTCTGCTGATTATTATTCGTGTCAGTTTCTTCATTTATGGGAAAAAAATTTAGAAGCAGGTTTCCTCAGGAACAATGAAACTTACCGATTTACAACAAGAACAATATATATATAAACTGTTTTTACTTAAACTCATAACATACTTAAACGAAACAAAAACATTTGCTAGAACATTGGAGAAAATATAATACTTACTGCTGGTACTATTTGGGAGTTGTAAGATTCATGTAATTACTGATTAGAATCAATGAAGTACTCTTATTATCAGTAGAAACTATTTTGGCAAGGAATCGAAAAAAAAAATTAATTCATTGAAAATAACTGGAACTACTAAAAAAATAATTTGAAAAAAACATCAGACAATTAAAATTTACTTTGTCACTTTCAAAGTCGATCCCATCGTATGCAACATTACCATGACATTGCTTACACTTTTTCTTTATACCATTTTTGAAGCCTGCGAGAGGTATGGTAGGTAGGTAATTCCTCTATCAAACTTTTTTTTAAGACTGGTGTCTTCCAATGGTCATTTTAGTTGTAGGAACAAAAATTTCTCACGCTGTGTCGGTCACATTCGTTGTGTTTTTTTGCCAGAAACTCTCATGACTTTGTGCGATCGCAGAACACTGAACAGTATAATTGTAAAAACATCTGATCTAACACACTGGATATCAGTTTGCGCTCAACTAACTACCAGGAAAAAAATTATAGCATTTTAATTTCGGATATAATTTACACATGCGTAACCTTTTTGTTCCTGTAAATGATAGGAGGTAAAGTAAGCAGGCTGCCAAGGACTGTTCTGATTTCAAATCGGTTATGAAAATGCAAAACATGTAGGGATGGATTATCGTCAATGTACAATAGCTCTCATCACGCATAGCTTATTCTCAGGATAGTTATAGTATAATAGCAGTTTATATAACGAAAATATTAAAATAAATATTATATACAATATGTGTACATATGTATATCAATGGTCGAAATAGTAGCATTCACTCAAGAAATATTATTTTTTTAAATTTATGGATGGCGTATTGTTTATCCAAAGAGTTTGCAATATTATTGAAAATAAATCTATAATTATATATATTTCATATCAAAAATATAATATATTATTTAGGATAAGTTTATTATATGTAAGACTCATTTTTGCTAACAGCAGAAAGCAGAATGACGTAATATTGGAATATTTATTATTAAAAGGTTATTTTTGAATGTCAATGGAAAATACGTTCGAACCGATACTTCTTATACAAAACCACAAAATAATACATCAAAAATCCATAAAGTTGTATATAATATTATAAGATGAAAGAGTATTCTAAAAAATGTTTACGAACTATTAAATTTTGAATTTGTTTCTCGATCCGGTTTTTTTAAAAATATTTTTTTTTATATATATATTTTTACATTTTTTAAGATAAGCGTTTGTTTAATATTTTTTTTAAATATTCTATATACTTCGATTCTCATATACTCATATATCTCTCACATATAAAGAATATTAAAGCTTTATAACATTGTAATAGTATATAAGATATAAGACAATTATATCTCAATAAACTATAATACAATTAACACTATTGAGGACCTTTGTTAGGGGCCCGAATAAATGTACTAACCATTTAGGTTCAATAGAAACGGCAGGAACCATTATTATAAGGGTTAGTCATTGTTTTGCATTTAGTTAAGATTAAAAAATAAAATATCTAAAATTTAAACATGTTTTTTTATCATTTAAATGTCATTAAAATTATTGTATATAATCACTTTTTTGCTATTTAGCACATATATTTTGCTCTTAGTGCGACTTGGAAATACTGTTAGTCATTCACTCATTTGTTTTTGTAATTTCTTCGAAACCTTATTATAATGTAATATATTATCTATATTATGAATTAATGAAAACAATTGGGATAAAAAGTATATATGTATGTATTGTTGTTAATGTTGCGCGAAATAACGAAAAAACCATTAACCCTTTAAGTACTCATGTACCATTTATGGTTTTTTCTTAATTCATAAAAATCTTTTTACAAAATACAAATATATATAAAGCTTAAAGGGGTAATTAAAAAGATATTACCTACAAACAAAATGTATGTTTTACAGTCGGGTGTTTTAAAATATAAAATTATTGATCATATAATAATAGAGTAATATTGATACTTATTAAAATATCCTAGATTATGTAAAAAGAAAATAGTCAATAAAAAATTTTACAGACAGGCGACACTTATTATTGAAAAATCGTTAGCATAATTTAGTGCTCTTGAAAGTAATCAAGTCAGACTTTGAAAATAGTCAAGGCTTCAAATAAACATCATCACATTTTTAAAAGCTTAATTGAAATGAAAAAATTAGCTAATTAAGAATAAAATGGGGCAAAAAAAATGCACTTAATTATTTTTTTTAATTCTTAATAGATAAAATTAAATGATTAATAATAAATTTATTTCTTGATATATTGAATTGAAATTTATTAACACAAATACTTGCGTTTATTAATATATAGACATATGAACACTTCTTTGGGATTCAAATAAACACATGTACCTAAATATGTCGCAGATGGAAATGATAGTACTAATTAGAAAAATATATAGCATTTAACAAAGCTGTGCAGGTGTTGGGTTTGGGTTTGGGAAGGTATTAAATACTAGCACCAGTCACAGTATAGTAAATGTGCACTTCAGTGGAACGCAGCCATCACAAGTCCATTGCAATAAAATTGATGAATACGATTGGGTGGTTAATGTCGTATAGGATTATTATTATTATTATTAGGACATATATGTATTTCAACAAAATTACAAATTAGTCTATTTACAAAGAATATTTTACGTACATCGAATTTACATTATAGAATTTACAAATGCTTTTCAGGTATTACGCTGACGAGCTATTGCTCTAAGCTCGCTAAAAGACTTTCTCGTTTCGCTTGTAACAGTTCTGCGCCAAGTATTTTTTGGCCTACCTCTTCCTCGCCGGCTCTGAAGCAAAGTTGCACATTTAAATGAATTATCTTTAATAATAGTAGTGATATTTAAAAGATATATAAATATATATATAATACCAGCGACTGGTATAGGTTTTAAAGTCGGTTAGATTGAATAAGAGTACTCACACTTAGAACAGTACGTAAGCGGCTCTTTTTGTAAATGTTCATAATTCAATTCTACCTTAGAGTTTTTTGGAATTTAGGTTGTATTCTATTGAAAGTATAATGGCGCCAAAGAGACGAAGTAACATTATAAGAACTAAAATTCGTTCCGGAAGCTATCAGTAGACAAAGATCACAATCAAGTATTTTAACCAATAATAATAATGTGTTGTATATTTATTCATAATTTCATTTAATCTTGACGGCGAAGATAGAAATTAAGTCACTGTTATTATAATTACAGTGTGAGACTAACCGGTACTGAGACTAACCCGAGGGTGCGATTAGTACTAAGTTAGTTTCAACCCAGTAGCAAACGGATCGATCCTTCATCAAAGACGTCTTGAAGACATGGATACATGCCTGAAGATCGATCGATCCAAATGTATGATGATCTTAGAAGACATTTTCGAACAAATTAGCATAATATGCATAACGGACGCATTCGATTGAAAGTTAGGCACTCTTAGCAGAGCTACTCATTTAATTTTTCTTATCCTTTTCTTGTTTTTTCTCCTTTTTTGTGCTCTTTAAATTTAAATTTATAAATTTATGTAAATTTACTTATAAAAATAAATTAGAATTAAATTAAATAAAAAAACTTGAATGGAATAGAAAATTTTAACCTCACAAATTGCTTCTTCATTTCACTCAAAATTAGCACTGATAATAATCAAGGCATAGCGACAGCAACCATGTGAAAACTACAAATGAGAGAGTAAGCAAAATAGAGACGTTTTACAGTACCAAAGACCGTCTCGAAGACAATGTCGTCGAAGACCACTGTTCCAACTTGGTCAGTATATTATATTAAAATATGCGTTAAATGATTACTTTTACTGCAAGTAAGCATTTTTGCCTGGGAAAATCTTAGCATATGAAGGTGCAATCAGATCAAAGCGAACGCTTGAGAACGAATGAACTTTTGCAGGTACCATTGGTTTTGGTGTGGATGCAAGATCTCTTCCATAAGAGTCATTATAGACTTTAAATGTTCAATTTTACAAATATAATAATAATAGTAGAGTCTCTAATTCATTGCTTTGATATTTAATTCGCTCCATTTATGATGTCTGTATTTCTAAATCATAATATTAACAGATACAGAAGACTGATAACACGATTTACAAACCTTTAAATGAACATAAAAATTAACGTGAAGAAATAAGTGATAAAACAATTATCGTACCTCAAGGGTTAAAGATGGAATCTGCGAAATTTTGTGTTTTTTATTAGATTTTGATTTGGTGAAATTAACAATCAATATATATTAAAGAATTCAAAAGTAATGCCATTGCCACTTGATTAATGGCTCTCGTAGAGTTCCTTAGTGGATTTTTCTCGCAGAGACTGGTGTGTATTTGTACATGCGCAATGCTATCAGAAATCGACATACGCGGAATACGAGCTTAGCGTGTTATTTCCAATTTTATTCTACGAAATTTTAATTTATTTAATTGTACTTTAGCTGCCATCAGCTGTTGCCGCTTTTTGTTCTGTTGTGCTGAGAGACATACATATGTACGTACAGAGTGCCAACGCTTTATGGCATAAGCGGCATGAAAGTTTTGTCATGACGTTTCAGTTAAGATTATACTTGAGTTCGATGAAAACGTTAACTGTGCAGAAAGTTTTATTACAGAACTACAATTTAGTTAGTTAAATACATAAGATAAGAAAAGTTACACTTCAATAAATATTAAAGTGTTTGTGTTTTTTGACGATTTACGATTTGCGATTTGTGCGATTTGCGATTCGAACACGCAAACTCGTACATAAGGAACTAACCTACTTTCGACTTGTTGCCTTCGAACGGATGTGAAGTGAAAAATGCAAGCATGGCTACGCATATCCTTGTTACTGTGTTCTTTTGGCTTCTTTCGAGAGATGCGTCCCTCCGAGCCGTTTGTAACAGAGTACCTAACCGACAGCTGGCATAATATTACCAGCGAACAGGTGAACAAAGAGATCTATCCATTCGGCACATATGCTGTGCTATCACAGCTGGTCATTGTGTTTCTTGTCACGGATATACTACGTTATAAGCCGATAATAGTTTTATCAGCCTGTGCTGGTATAATACTTTTCGCTATATTAAGTTGGACTAATACAATACCAGAACTGCAAATTGGACAAATATTTTATGGCTTTTTCATGGCCAGTGAAGTGGCTTATTACACTTACATATATGCCAAAGTTGATAAAAATCGCTATCAGATTGTAACAGGTCACACGCGTTCCGCTATACTTGCTGGAAAATTTTTAGGTGGTGTTTTGGCGCAAATTTTGATATCTACTGAATCTATGGATTACAGGGGATTGCACTTTATATCATTTGGTTCACAAGTTATCTCTTTATTCATAGCACTTACTTTACCTGCTGTCAACAAAAGCCTGTATTTCTTTGCAGAGGAAGGAAGTGATTCCTTACCAGAGTTAAAAGCAGAAGAAGTGAAAAATGAACTCGAATTAACATGTGAATCAGTGGAGACAGGTAAAATTTCTATTCTCTATTGTGTTATGTGTATTCTTATCACAGTTATCATCTAGTGAAGTTGTCTGGCATTGAGTGTTTAGTTAGATATGGATAAACTTATATATAATCAACTATTGCTTCTGGACTGATCTGGTTATCATGGGTGGGATATTGCACCGCGATTTTAAGTTCTGTTTTGCCCAACTGGTTTAATTACTTGCATTTATCTATGTACGAGGTATAATCACTCGAAATATTCCATTATTTTTATTAATAATGACACTATTAAAACACATCATTATTCTACTGTGTTTAGATAAGAACAAGACGCGTTTAAAAACCATTCCGTTGAATTATTTTACTTCTAAAAATATTTAAAAGCTTATATTTTCAATACAAAAACGAATGTTTTAACTTTAGATAGTTATTAAACATTTTATAGAAATTAACAATATATTAAAAACAGACATTTAGTCACTCAAGTATTTGTAGATATGCTCAATAACATTCCATAATAAATATTAAAAAGGTGATCTAAGACTTGCTTGCGAAGAAAACAACTTTTAAGCAACACATCTTTTAAGATTCTTTACTAAAAGTAAAATCCTAAACAATTGCAAATTATAAGCGGTATTCATCATTTCATATTTAGCCAATAAACTTATACACTAAACTTAAACAACATCGTGAACATTTGCATTATATTCTTGCTTTTTCTTTAAGCATCCACCCATCCATGATGCTTTTAAATTCCTACTTTTAGTAGCCAATCACTTAACTTTTATCTAGCTTTTCCATAAAGTCGTAGATTTGCTTTAATTTGACTTTTCTATATGTTGGGTTGTTGTTGTTGTAACCCGCAGGGACCGGCTTGTGAAATCCCTTTGGGAAGTGTTAAACTGTACTTAGTCGTCGCTGGTGACTTGTGGCTCCGGGACGTAGACCAGACTGTTCTTGGAATCGTATATTGGATGGACATTCGAGTCGTTGCTAGCTTGAGAATTTTAATTTATTTTTTTTTCACAATAATGGTTACTGTAGACCAACGAATGTTTCGATTAAGTGAACTGCATAGAGTCCACTTCAATAGAACTAACCAATATACACTTCATATTAGTAATATTGAGATGTATTTTTAGTAATTTTAAACTCAGTGAACATAAATATAAAGAAAGACATCCGATATGATATCACCTACAAACGATTTCAAACGATTTCAAACGATAGTGTTCGTATTCAAATCATAATTCTTTCTTACTTTGTTGTCGAGTTACACAGATAATATGCGTGTAGATATACATCTTATAACCAACAATCTAATCTCTTTAATATAACTAATAATAATCTATATAACTTTACTATAACAACAACTATCTTTGCATCAATCACGGAAAATACAAACAGACAAAAAGTCAAAATAATATTTGAACATTGCGAAATTATAAAAAGTTAGAGTTTTTATATTTATATTTTTTTATTTTTTATTTATATTTTATTTCATTTATTTATTATTCAGTAATATATACAAAAATGGATATACGAGTATGTTGGCATATTAATTTTACTAACTTGCTTGCAGTATGATATGATATCATGATAACGAAGTATATATAAGTGGTAGACTTCTATTTATGTTATATACTTACGAAGATGCAGAATAGAGTATATTATTGTTATTTTTCTGTCAAGTTTTATATATTCTTCTATATAAAACTTGACAGAAAAAGACTTTCTAACCTTTTTAAGCAAAAAAATTTGTTGTCAAACAGATTTTAAGAACTAAGATAAGGAAGACACTTTCAGACTATGCCTAGAAGAAAAGGAGACAGTGGTGCATATATTGTGCCAATGTCCAGCACTGGCAAACAGGAGGATGACATTGGGTTAGTGATGACTTGGCAGGCAACCTCAAGCCAAATAAGCTGCTTGCAATAACAAGAGATGTAGTTATACGAATGGAAGCCTCTCTAGCTTTAACTCAATAACGACATTCGAGAATCGAAGGACGAAAAAGGACCCAAGTCGTTTCGTGGTCTACTTCGGCTAATTCTTCACTTCAGTGATGAGATACATCAGAGGAAGAAATATAAATGCTAACAGTTACCAACTCTATTAAATTAGAATTCACAAATGACAAGAGTTGACTAATTCAATTTTATCAAAAAGTTTCTCTATTCTTCTTCACACTCCAAACTTTCAATCCCAAACTTAAGTGTTGTAATAGATTTATATGTCCGCTTTCATGGTCCTCACATGGATTACGGGTTACAACAGCAACATCTAGTCTCCCTCCAGTTTCTTCAAACTATTAATATGCTTATACCGATCGGCACATTAATTTGTTTCCTATACCCATATTACCTTGAGACACTGTCACTGGTGAATACACCAACTTAATTTTAGGCTATACAATTTCATCTCTATAAAAAAATATAAATTGATATTATTAAAAAATAAAAATAAAACAAAATATTAACTTTTTCATACTCGTTTAGATAACATACAAAACACCACATCATCGGTAACAACTAAGGAGCCTAAATTCTCTTGGAGTAGAGCTTTTCGTCTTTTACTGCAACACACTGTAACAGCTTACAGCAATCCAACAGTAGTTAAATGGAGCTTTTGGTGGGCACTAGCTACTTGCGGGCAAGTACAAGTGATATCCTATGTACAATTTCTTTGGAAGGAAATCGATCCATATCATGAAAGCTTCTATAATGGTGCTGTGGAAGCAACAGTAACTTTGCTGGGCGCAGTTGGCGCAATGACGGCAGGTTTTATGAATAGTAACCGTCATAAGGAGTGGCACATGTGGATATTAACGATATGTTCATTATTAATGGGTGCCTTCTTGATTATATCAGCCATAACGAACTTAGTGTGGATAGCTTATGCCATGTACGTACTGTTTGGCATCTTTTATTTCTTTGTTATTACTATAGCGACTGCTATAGTTGCGGAAAATCTTTGCGATGACAGCTTTGGATTGATTTTTGGTATTAACACTTTAGTAGCACTGGCATTGCAAACAATACTAACACTTGTGGTTGTCACGGATGCAGGATATGCTTTACAGCCCCGCAGTCAATATATTGTGTATGGCAGTTATTTTGTAGCCCTAGCAATTTTGTATTGCTTAGCAGTCATGGTTCGATTCATTTTTGATAGTTTTAATTGTTGGAAATGTAAAACAAAAAGACGTTTCGATATAAGTTAGAATGATGATATATATAAAAATAAACTTAAAACTTATTTAAACAAATGAAATACTCGCCAAGTACTTAATGTACAAAATTAGTCTTTAAGCTTATAAAATAAAAAAATGGAGTTCAAATTTTAATTGTAGATTTTCTTGTTCCAAATTATTGTATATTTAAGCTACTTTGGAAGCTCATATTTCAAAATTTTGGTACAGTTAATTCAGGAAATAATGTTTATTTATTTCAACTAGACAAGATAATTACAATCATAGTTTTAGACTAATTTTAAGGACGATTGTTTTTTTATATTACTACTACTTGTCTTTGGTGATCAAATGTCATTATTTACTTTTTGATGAAACCAATACCTGATGTATTAAAATTTATTTGCCTTATTATATTATTATAAGTAAGTCCTACTAACTCTTCCCAAAAGGAGTTCAAAGATCAAACATGTGCTTGTTTTAGTATTTATCTAATAGTCTATGCATGTTCCTGCTTTCAGGTTCCGCATGTTAGTTTTACCATCAACAATTTGTTACTTTGGTTCCAGAAGTAACCGAATCTATAACGCTAGTTCGTTTTGAAAACTGCTTACTGTAGAAATGTGCTAACTACTTTTTGGAACAATATCAAATCATGTTTTAGTTTATTTAAATGACCCACAACAAAAAACTATCAAAATTAAGTGGATATCTTTGGAGCAATTAGTTTTAATAGGTCGAAGAGATATTTAGAAACTATTTATGATAGTGTAAGTTTTGTATCAATATTAATTTGTTAATAATACCACATATCATCTTGATTATTCCTAGTACAAATATACTTGTTGATATATGTAACATTCTTTATATACATGACAGAGTCTCTACACAAATATTGTGAACAAATATTGGTGTTGGATGAATACCATAATGCAAACAACTTTAAAATTAATGTAATATTCAACTTTAACTATTTAAAATACATGAATGAAAGAGAAATGACAGAAACACACTACAGTAAAGAGAAAAGAATTATTAAGTATTCAAATTTATATGAACGGGCATTTTCTTACTTTACAATATAAATCACAATACATAAATTGCTTAAAATGTGCAATAGTGGCATGATAATTAATTTACATCAGAGTCAAAATTATCAGGGAATCGTCAGGAAATTTTTGAGTAGTGTAAGAAGTCTTTATTTGTATTTTTTTTAGAATCTTACACGCATTATGTACACATTTACTAAATGTCATGGAGACGAAAAAAATTATTAACTACACCAAAACGTCAACAAAAGCTAATAATCACTATAATTTATCTCTGTATTAATTAAACACATATATCTAAAGACAAATGAATACACCCTCCTCCAAGTCAGTTCTATACTAATCAATTAAAATAGCCACACTTGGTTTTAGCGTTTAAGTGATAAATTATTTATTGAAAAATTTTAACCCAATTTCATAATTAATTTGAAAAATATTTGTGGTTACTTACCTTACATTTAAATGGCTTTTCGCCGCTATGTATGCGTTTGTGCGCCTCTAAGTACCCAGAATAATTAAAAGTTTTACCGCATTCCAAACACTTTTCAGGAATTTTGAGATTATTTTTCTTACGTTTACTACAACTTTTTGATATTTGTATCTATGGTTAAAAAGAAAATTAAGAATCTATCTATCTTCTATCTAATATTTGATCGAATTCCTTACTTTTTTTTGATTGTCATATGAACTTTTATTGATCCCCAGCACATTACCATTTGTAATTTCACTAAATGTTTGGTCAATGTACTCTGAATCAGGATTCGTACACACAAATACCTCGCTTAGAGTATCATCAGCATCGGAGCGTGTCAAACTGCTCACATCGATTTCCACATCATTCAAAACATCCTCCGCCTCAACTTCAATGTCATTTGAATTCCGTTCAAATATATCGCAGATGTTTGCATAGATGGCAGCAGTAGTATCAGCTTCTTTGGCAGCATTTTCAGCACTAGCTGGCACATAGGAATCCTGTGTACTGTTGAGATTAAATTGAATTTATCATTATTAAATTATAATTAATTTTTAGATATGTATTCAATTTAATCTCACATGGAATTTAAATTTAATGAAGAAACAGCTCCCTCATTCGTTATGCAAATGCAGTCTCGTAGTCTTTGTTCTGAGGCCTCCGCAAGTTGCTGCAAATTGTAGGCATCCAGTACACGATATAGACAAGATTGACACAGCAATGTTGGTAGATTATCATCCGCCTGAAACTACTAACATAAATTCATATTTATGTTTATATTCATACATTAAAAGAAGTATTAAATTATTTTAATTAAAATAAAACATATATTACATTTTTTGATATTTCTCATTATGCAAGACTATTCAAATATAATAAGGAAAATATATATCTATTTGTGTGCAAATAGTTTACCTTAAATATATGCAATTTTTCTATCATCTCAATAGGACGCAATAAAAATGTTGGACTGAATATGGAAACTAACAAATCACTTTTTAAACAAATCCTGCAAATTTTGTGCAATTCATAAAGTGATAGTGTCTCCATAGTAAATTATTATTTAATCATTTAGTTTTGCAGCAGAGCTAAATTTGCATAAATTATCGTTACCAAAATTCAATAAAAAGCTACAAAAACACAACAAACAAAACTGAAAATCAATGAAAACAGCTGCTTTTTGTTTTGCCGATAATGAAAGAATGAGAGCGGGGTTGCCAACGCTGATAAATATGCCGCTGTAGAAGTACGAATACATGTTAATTTGTTCCTAAATCATATACGATTAATACGATCTAATGAACATTTATAAATATTATTTTTATTAATATAATATTCGTCCTATTTACACGGATATATCAATTGAATGGTTTATTTCTTCATATTTGGTCACAATGGAGTAGCTCCGTCTCAGTCAATAAATGCAACTCTGAAGTATTTTTTGTATGATTACGCGAAAAAGATAAGAAGTCGTAATACGGAAGGAAATCCATAGCAACTTTTAATAGTAAAAATTAATTGTTTAAGCTTTTTTTGGGGTGAGTCATTTTATTTTTACTGCTCTGCACAATTGGCGAGTTCATCATACAAAATGATCGTACTTTGTTTTTAAAAATATTACAAATAAGACGTTTTTAACTGCGAAAAGTAGATATCATACAAAAATGTCTGGAGAAGCCTCACCTATGCAAATGCTCAAAGATTCGACAGTTAATAATGCATCTTCTGCAAGCAGTAGTGGCACTCCTTCGTCTGATAGTCTGGCGGATTTATACTCACAAACAGATTTTTATATTGGAGTAGGTCTAGCAATAAGTTCTTGCTTTTTTATCGGATCAAGTTTTATAATAAAGAAAAAAGCACTTCTACGCCTTAACGTACATGGTGAATTGCGTGCCGGTGCTGGTGGGTTTGGTTACTTAAGAGAATGGATATGGTGGGCTGGCCTTTTAACAAGTATGTATAAAGATAATATAGATATTACTTTAAATAAATTTATCGTTAAATTTTCAGTGGGTTTGGGCGAAGCTGCTAATTTTGCTGCTTATGCATTTGCGCCAGCTTCTCTTGTAACGCCACTTGGAGCACTTAGTGTTATTATATCTGCAGTTATGGCTTCGAAATTCTTAAACGAAAAGCTTAATTTACTTGGAAAACTTGGTTGCTTTCTTTGCATATTGGGCTCAACAATTATTGTTATACACTCACCGAAAGAAAAGGAAATCGAGGATTTGCAAGTTTTATTCGAAAAACTACAAGATCCGGGTTTTATATTATATGTAATAATTATACTTGGTTCGAGTATATTTGTTGCATGTTTTATAGCTCCGAGACATGGTCATAGTAATGTAGTTGTTTATATATTTTTATGTTCCGGAATTGGTTCGCTTACTGTAATGTCTTGTAAAGCTTTGGGTTTGGCAATACGCGATACAATATCTGGTAATAATGAGTTTGCCACTTGGATGCCATGGTTTCTGATTATAGTTACAGTTACTTTTATTGCCATTCAAATGAATTACTTAAATAAAGCGTTGGACATTTTCAATACGGGAATTGTGACGCCAGTTTACTACGTAATATTTACTACATTAGTCATAACAGCATCTGCGATACTTTTCAAAGAGTTCACACATATGAAATTTGAGAATATATTGGGTGATATATGCGGTTTCCTAACTGTAATAACGGCTGTATTTATGTTGAATGCTTTCAAGGATGTTGATGTATCACTAAGTGATGTACGCGGTATTATGCGACCTAAAATGCAAAAAGTTGCACAATTCGATGAGGAAGTGCTTTTCAGCAACAACGATAAGGAAAGAAAATATTCCTATGGATCTGGTGATATGTTTAGAAAAGCATGACGAAAGTATCGTTACCAAGTTTAAGAAAATTATTTATTTTATTTATATTTTGTGTCTTAATTTCGTCCACTTTTAATCATAATTTGGTTTGAAATGTATTAGTCAAAAATGAATTCATTATAGTGTGATACGAATTGAAGAGCAATAATAATTTGGATCACAAAACTGATTCCATTGTTTAGTTATATAGGAATATATACACATGTATTTGTAGTTTAAGCCTTAATATAATTAGATTTATAATTGTATGTCTCGTGTACAAAATAAACAAAAAAAATAATGTACATTTATTTTTTATTAGAAAAGAACCTAAAATTTACATTGAAATTCTAAATTTACAACACCTACCAATAAAGAACATTAATATATGTTGACAAAAAGTTTTCTGCCATTACTTATTTATAATAATATTTACTTGATAGAATTCAGTATTTATAAACTAGATTAATCATAGTGGTATATATAATTTTTACCATATTACATATGCATAACTCTACAAGTCGTTTTTGGTTAAGATAATTAACCAAATATTTATTGTTAATAACTCATTTTATTGATATAGATAGTAGGGTATGTTTATGTGTTTATGTTACCTTTATATTTAGTACATTTACCGATTTTTCGCTAAATTATCTATTATTTAAATTGATAATAAGATAATTTTTAGTGAACTGTTTATGTTTAGAAAATAAATTGGTAATTTAACACGCAATAGACCTTTATAACTGATTCTAACTTTAGGAGTAATATTTTAACTCTGCTATATACATATGTAAAGCCAAAACTTTTTACAGAATATTAACTAAAAGTTGTAGTTTTTTTTGCTATCAGTATTGCTGTTGATTTATATAGTATATATACTATATTTGATTGATTCAATCGAAAAATAATTGTTGATAATTTTAGTTTACTTATAAAATAATTTTCTAATAAGATACCGTATATGTAATATTGTTATAATTTCTACATTATTTACTTATAATTGTTTTTAAACTATATTGTCAAAAGAAAATTAAATATAGAAAGTTTTATAAAGTAAGTATAACTTATATATATGTAGTTTGTAATACCCTTTGTACTAACTTATATATCATTATTAATTCTTAAATCAGCAAATTCTTTTTCTAAATGTGCAATTTCATCTTTTAATTTTTCCATATACCTGCAGCTTAACAAACTTATTTGCTCCTTGCAACGCGTTTTAATTAGAAGTGATTTTAAACGCTCTCTTTCTAGCCTAACCAGCCACGAAAAAAAAAATATTAAATTTGTTTTTATTTAAATTATAACAAAATAAATTTAACGTCAACAGATTGATAAATTAGCTACCTCATTTCTAGTTCAAAAGACTGCGTACTGTTTAAAGCAATTGCCAATTCATTCAGTTTATTTTCAACAGCTTCATGTCCTTTTTCAGTTGAATTTATTGTAATGGAAATATCGTTACTCAAATTTTCAATTGCTTTCTCTAGTTCATTTAGTTTAGCTTCAACGTCATGATAGGGCTTAAGAATCAGAACAAATACAATTATAAATAACATATATAACCACATAATATTACCATCATTGTGAAGTGGTCTATTGCCAACAATATTTTCATTTTTTGCCTGACGTTTCCGCGGTAATTATCAACTGCCTTTTCGTAATGCTCCAGTTGTTGGTTTTTGTTGCTATCGCCCAATGCAACTGCTTGATTCTTTAAACATCTGTATGTATGAATAAAAAACAACAAAATATAAAACAAATCCTATGGTAATAAATTAATAATTAGAATTACATCAACAGTTTATTTAATTCTTTTGCTAATGTGAAAGAACCAGCTTCATCGGTTGCAAAAGTATGCTGAACAAATGTGTTTATTTGGTTTTTAGTTGTATTAATTTCAAGTCTAAAATTATTAACAGATTTAACAAATTCCTTATTTTCCTGATTCTGTAAAAAAATTTATTATACATATATGAAGAGTTGCGAGTTATTATTATACATATTACCAGAATTTGCAGTAAATTATTGTGAAAGTTACTGATTGCAGATTGTACGTTGTTTGAAGCCATTTTTTATTTATATCTTTCAAAAAATTTTTCCGTTTAGTTTTATTATATAAATTATGTTTGGCACAACTTCAAAAATGAACTTGAAATTGAACTGCTGTTTTTTCTAACTGACAGTAACTGTATGTATGCAATGTGCACACATTTTACAGAAAATCCACAAAACTATTATAATGCATATCTTTATTAGTATAACAGAATTAAAGCATTTAATGAATATAACTTATAACAATATAACACATTACTATGGACATATTTGTGCAGAAAATATGACTAATTGACATACAATTATCCAGTAAATTGTGAAAAAGTGTTAATAGAGGTAGTATAAGCGCACAAAAACACTACTTTAAAAATAAATACTATTTAATTATTTATTTATTTTTTATACAAGGTTTATACTTTGTAAACCTGGTTTAACCTGGTTACGTCAGTTGGCCTATAACACAGGAGATTGCTTTTTGCGAATAAATTTCGGTAAATTAATTTAAAAATTTTTTAATATGAACTCTATTAGTAAAAAAATAAATAAAATGTATATAAAAAAAAGTTTTTAAGTTTATTAAAACAAATAAATAAGGGCTGTATTTTGATTTTTAGAGTATATGCATACGTGCTCAATTTTAATATTATATATATTGCACATGCTCATATATGCCTTATAACCGCTATCTTTTTTCCTTATCTGTCTCAAGAAAGTGGGAAAATACCTAAAAAAACTTGAAAAACAAATATATTGTGCTTATATTGGTCCATTATTTTTTTAACACTTCAGTGGTGTTAAAAATTTAAATAAACTAAATATAGAAAACTGTAGAAATCTGATTAATCAATCATGTGTACCATGGATCTAATAAAGCTATGAGATATACTATTTATCATTTTAATGCATTTATTTAGGACTTCAACCAGTTTTTAATTCACATCCAGCATTCTGGAAAGACAGACAAAAACACTAAACATATACATTATATTGCTGTAAGTTTGGACGTATTTATTATTCAAAATGAACTATTATATACCTTGGGTATATCGATGCCAGAAGAATCACAATGTTGTCTATGCTTTAAGAAGCTTTGAGGAAACATGTGAATCAATCAATCAATTTCACCATAATATTTTGTAAAAATTTTATGTGATATTTTATATATAAATTCTTTGTACTTCTTTTTAATATAATATATAATGTTAATTTAATTATCATTTTAAAATAAATATAGGATATATATGAACATATATTCTTCGCAAATATAAATGATTTAATTTGAATGTTTTGATTCTTTGTTGATACTTTTAGATGCTTTGTGATAGCGATAACAATTTCCCCACAAAATTATATTGACTACATCACACAATTATATTGTTTCCCCACACCTTCTTTCGTATTTGAATCAGATCTTTTCTATTAAGTCTTTTGAGATTTTCTTTGGTAGTCGTTCCTTGAAGTAGTGCATGGATATACCCGTGTGTGCTGTACAATAACCAAAGTTGATTAATATTATTGTATGGATTTTATATGAACAATACAAATGTTTAATTATTTCTGATATTGCTAACCACATGCTTCTTTTTCGCCTTTAACGTTCTGTTTTGGCGTTATTACTTGGATAATATAGATTTGCTGCAATGTTAAATATTTCGCTCGAAACTTACGTCCAAAACAAAAATTTTTTATTTTGAAAGCAGATTTCGATTAAAATTTTTAATAATAATGTTTTTAAGAAAAACACTTTTTATTAAAACAGATATTATTTCAGTAATTTTAAGACTCTAACGCAATGTATCAGAGGAATATCTTATAAAATACTCTATTATTAATTATTGTTTTAAAAATAAATTAAAAAACCTACATTTATAAATAACAATAATTCCAACAGCTAATTAATACTTAAATTTATTATTTTTTATATTTACTTCAAAAACACGTACATTTTTATCGCCACTACTACATGCTAACACAGCGACCTTGAAAATTAATTAAATTCGCAGGTTGCAATTAATTTTGTGTAAAAAAAATTTTTTTTATTTCGTTGAAATGCAATTTATTTGACCAAAAATTTTACCAAAATAACATTATAAATTTGTAGCATTATATGCCTTGAAAGAAAACTTTGATTATATAACTTTATATACTTATTCCGCATAGGTACCTATGCGCCTAATTGTTTATAAAGCTCTGGAACATAATCGTCCCATTCAGCCTGGTAGAAATTCCCAGCAACTGGAGTACCTAGAGCATATTTCTTTGCGAACTCCGCAATTTTAAAGCCACCACGACCGTCACCACTGTTGTTGGGCAAACGTTTTTCGTCAAAAGTCAATTTACAATTTTGTTTGAAAATAAGAAAAACGTAGCGATGCAAACCGGTGCCTTCTGGCGGTCCTGAACCGACATAAGCTGATAAAACTTCGCCTTCGGCAACCTTATTACCAGGTATATTACCGACTAACCAATGATGCCATTCGCGAAAAGTAGGCTCCTTGCGGCTTGGTGCATCAGGATCAGTCATGCAAAGAGTGTACAATGCGTTAGGATCTGCATTCCAAGTAACAGTTGGCTGGTCCTTAACCTGAGTTGGTGTTAGCACGTTTCCTTCGCAAACTGTAGCACCGCTAGCATAGCAAATCTTTGCAATTTCCTTTGGTGCACAGGGAATCACATCAGGAACAACTCCGTTTTTCTCCATGCTTGCACTAATTGTTGACGAATAACGAGAAGAAATTTTAGTAACCGGCTTTATGTGTTGACTATTTATAATAAAATTTTTTTTGACAACTGTCAAATAAGAAATTGAATTTATCGGAGAGTGTTGTTGTTGTTGCTGTAAAACAAGCAATCTACGATTTTTAAAAATCGCCGAAGCTATTTGTTGGCTACGATGAAAAACACTTGCAGAAAAAGACATTTTTCGTTAATATAAAAGTTTTTTTTTATTTTTATCAATTACAAAAATAATTAATATTAGAGTGGAGACTAAGATTTGGAGATTTTAAAAATGAATGATGAACAAAATATGACAACCAGTGTTGGTAATATATACAATTTTTCGTGATTTTTGTAACATATTTCTTGCAGTTTACTACATTTAGTTTATTTAAAATTTAATGTGCTTTAACAGTTAATTTTAAGCAGAATATTCTTCTCTGTACATATTTTAGGGATTTTCATATTTTCTGACTAATAAGGAGAAGAGATAACGAAAATAAAACATTTTAACATGCGCGATGTCTTCTATACAAAAATTTGGACCACTCACATATGCGCTAAAAAAAACTAAGCTAATATTTGTGATTTGTTTTAATAAACTTAAAAAATTTTATTTTTTAGTTTTTATTTTATTTTTAATATACATTTTATTTATTTTTTTTACTGGTAGAGTTCATATTAAAGAATTTTTAATCTGCAAAACTGATTCATGTGCTTTTTACCAAAAATCTACCAATCTACCGAAATTGTACCAATCTACCGAAATTAATCCTCAAAAACCAATCTCGTGTGTTGTACGTCAAATGGCGTAACCAGGCTAAACCAGGTTTACAAAGTATTAACCTTGTATAAAAAATAAATAATTAATTAAATGGTATATATTTTCAAATTAGTGTTCTTGTGCGCTTATACTACCTCTATTAACACATTCTTACAATTGACTGGATAATTGTATAGCAATTAGTCATATTTTCTGCACAAATATGTTCACAGTTAATGTGTTATATTGTTATATTCATTAAATGCTTTATTTCTGTTATACTAATTAAGATATACTTTATAACAGTTTTGTGACAGTTACTGTCAGTTAGAAAAAATAGCAGTTCAATTTCAAGTTGTGCAAAACACAATTTGTTATGATAAAACAAGATGGAAATTTTATAAATATTATCATTTTTTGGTTCTCCGTGACAAAATTGTAATAAAATAAAAAGAAAGAATTTATTATTTAAAAAGCCCTACACGTAAACGACTATACTAAACGTCATATTATTTTTAAAATATAAAAGTTTTCGCTAAAAAGTATGTTGCTACACACAAATTTAATTAACTTTATTTAATTAACTAGTCTTTTTCAAAGTGTACATCACATAGTTTCTGATGTACTGTACATTTAAACTATCGCTATTAACTCGACAACTATGGAAAATTCATATAAAAATATATTCATGAAATTTGATAATTGTAAGTGTGAACATGGAATAGCCAAAGAATAATTTATTTCAAATATAACATCTTGTAGTGCCTGAAAGTCCAGTACTGCTTCTTTAGAATTTTTCGGTTTTGTATTTGATGTTTTTACTAATCAGAACTAATTTAAGTTTTAAAAAATGAAATAAATTTTAAGTGCTAAATTAGCATACGATATTTCAACGTAAATACAGAGTTGCTTTTTTCCCTTGTATTATTCACAATTCCTCATCATATCATATTCACGAAATTTGAAAAAATCATCGAATGGTTTTCATATAATATAATTCAATCTAATATTCAATATAAATAAGCTACTAAGCCCTAGTATTAGGTGTATCTATAGCATTAGGTGGAAATAAATGGTCATTTCGTAGTTTAATGTAGCGGCTACTACGTCTCAAATAATATTCCTATGATAATCGACAAGGAACATATAGAAGTTGAACTGTCCTTTATGAATTAGAATAGTGCGTTAATGTAGCACTAATGGAGCAGTTAAGGATGCTTAAGCTCACTTCAGTCAGCTCATCACAACATTGGGAGATCTACTCAAATTAATACGAAAATTAAACTACACATTTTGACTTAAATGTAAAATCAGTATCATTGTACTAGCTTGGATCATAAAAACAAACAAAATCGATACAGTTGCTCATTCATATTTTCTCAATGAATGCATAAGGTGCATAATATATTGTATAATATATTAAAGAGATGGATCTCCAATGAAGAATTATAATGAAGAACAAGCGTATAAAACGCAGAAATGGAAATGACAAGGGATTGTCGATACACTGCGAAAACTAAGCTAATATACAGCCGGAGAGTAAAATCTAAAACAAGGAGAACGATCAACGTCGCTCTTGCTAGCGAGTTCTTTATGTAGAAAGCCACAATACACCCCTATGCCCCTGTACACCCATATGCTGAATATTCCCGAAATAAAAATTGAAATTTCTAACAAGGATTAAAATTAAATTTTGAATTTATTTCTCGACCTGTTTTTTTTCATAATGGTTTTATATATTTTTTATCCAGCTATAGGTAACTTTTTGTTAAAATTAAAATTCGACGTTAGTTTAATATTTTTTAATATATTCTATTTATCGACGCTCCTTGATAGTCATCACTTTATCCTTGTTTCTATGACAAAATTATGTATTCATAATAAACTAAAAAACTAATAATTAAAATATTATAAAATTGTTGCAATAATCTTTGTAGATCCTGTTCCTGATGATGGCTCTTGAGAAGAGTCGAAATGTAGAATATATTAAAAAATATTAAACAAACCTTCAATTTTAATTTTAACAAAAAGTGACCCATATTTGGGTAAAAAATGTGTAAACCATTCCTAAAAAAAAAAAAACAAAAACGACTTTAGAAGAACTACGTTTTCTATAATGTATAAATTACATCATTAAATATCTTTGCATTGGAGAAATATTAAGCAGCGCTGTGAACTGTTCGACACTCTGAACCATTGGTTCGGTTAAAAACTGATTTATCAAGTCTTTGTACCAGCGGTTCTAGAAAGATTGTGCAAAATCAGTGAAGCGCAATGGTTCAGTTTAGTTACACTAAAGAGTTCGAGGATACACAACGTCAAGGTGTACTTATCTAATTTATTTTGTTAATATTATAATAATATTAATATTGGAATATTATATATTTTTATAGTATGTATTGTTGTTACTGATAAAGCTACGCTTTCTTTATAGTGACAAAGTAGCTATATTTAAAATTTAGAGGGTTTTTCGTATAGCAAAGAAAGAAAGGACAAACACTAAATAAATTAAACAAATTTTTGTGTTTGTCCTTTTTTTCTTTTATGTATTAATTGTTATATATTAATATTAGAATAAATATATATTTTTGAATTTTTTATTTAATGTAATGCATTTAAATTTTTTCATACAACAGAATCTTATTAACAAATACATATTTAATATTAAAAAATAAACATTTTTAAATAAAATATAAGGCATTTGCTGATTAAAGCAATATATCATTAGGAAGAAACACTTATCTCCGGTGTTTGCGGGGGAACATTGACGGGAATATAAATATAAAGTAACTGGAAAATAAATAAAAAATAACTAGTTAGTTACTTTTAATTTTATAAATTGATTTTAACGAACTTGTACAGATTTTGTAAAGTATGCTTTAGCCTTCTCTGCTTGTAAACTGAAGCCGATAAATTTATCAAATAGATAACCATTCTTTTTGGATTCAAGGAATATGCGATCCTCTCCAATGTTTAAAGTAATACTTTTAGAGGAAATCTAAAATAAATGAATGTATTAACATTTGATTTAATTAAATAAAATTTAGCTGTCCTACACATTCAGGCAAGTACATTTCCACAACGATTTCGTACACTTGGTTTTTATATAGTCTGGCACGTAATTTGTAAACGGGTTCGAAAATATCTTGGCCCCCGCTCATTCGCTGACCAATTTCGAAATTTCGATAAACTTCATTAATTTCTTTGACTAATTTTGCTTTTTCCTTTTGTGGTAATAGTTTGTTATCGATTGATGACTGATGAGAATTAATAATATTGTTTACCTCAGCGCTTCGAATACGATGAGAGACTAAGGTGCCCATAACCTTGCGGTGGCGCAAAATAATCGCCGCCTCGCCGTTCAGTTGTATATTAAATTTTTCACTAATTGCTTCGAAAATTACCGCTAAAAAAAAACCTTTGAAGCTATCTAACTTTAAACACTTTTCGAAAAATTTGTCATTGATGGCAATGTCGCAAACTTCGCATGTGTTTTTGGATTTATCCAATGTGTGGCGTACTTCTGCTATGCTCATGGGTATCCGGTAGCTATTTGAATCAAAGGACGTTAATAAAGTACCCAATTCGTTTTCGGAAATATTTTTTGGGGCAGGAATCTCTGATGTGTGACACACATTAATGAAAAATTTCTCCTTTGAGTTGACTCTGTGGCTCTTTAGACAAAAACCTTGAAATAGAAAAAAAAAATTGGTTAAAAAAAATTCAATTACGGTCAATTTTTTCATAAAATAAAAATAAAAATCGATTGAAATGGCATTACTTGCTTTCGGAGAGGGCGCAGAAAGTGTGATCGAGTGGTTTTTTAGCAATATATTGCAATAAAAAAAAACAAAAACATTTTAAAACGAAGGTATACCAGTGTATCTTTCAGTAGTGAGCACATGAAATATAAACAGCATCCGTTGGAATTGAAAAACTCTATAAAGTGTAATATGTATATATATGAAAAATTTGTACGTACATATATTCCAAATGATTTAGTTTTATTTGTGATTAAAATTAAGTCATATATACATGTGAATTCAAATTATTCAATAAAGAATCCAAGAATTTATGAATCGCAAACCCCACATTATTAATGAAAATTGACGAGGATATGATGATAAGTTTTAATAAACAGCACAGAAGCAAATCAATAAAGCCAAATAAGGTACTACTTACTACTCGTACAATAGTAGTAACATAAACAATTGAATTTACACAGTGGCATTTCGGAAAAGGTAAAGCTGACACATCCAGGGCATCGAACCGGAATTTTTTACGTTCCGGTTGAAGACAAAAAAATATATCGGTTTGGTTCCGGCTTTCGTTCCGGCAAAAATAACAGTTTTTTCCAGTTTTCTGTTCGGTTCCGGTTCGATGTTCTGGACACATCAATGTCTGACAGGAGCAAACATAAGTAGAAAAAGTTGTTACAGTTGAGTTTATAGATCTATAACTGCGTTTCTGCGCAAATACATACTTTCTTGCGTTTTAAAGCTACAGGTTTGCTTATCACTCCACGTAATTGCAAAAAACTAATATATATGAAATTTATAATTCTCAAAAAGTTTCTTTAATTATGTTACGCAGAGCTGTATTATTTAACTCCAGATTTTAACAATAATTGCGTATTCAATAAGCGAAACGCAAGAATGGAGGAACGCAGTCATTGTGCTTGGACCATTAGTTAAGGTTTCGCAGTTTAAATAGTACGTAACACTGTATCTGTGATCATGCCTAAGTTAAGAATAATACGTAAAATCGGTTGACCTACTAAATCCATAATAATAATGTTCATGGTACTGCTCTAAACTTCCGAACGAAACTCTGATGGTTTTTGTAGTTGTTAACCAAAGACAAGTGGATGTTCCTTTTTTCAGGAATTTCATATTTCCATTGTACTATGGATTCAGCAGTTCCTTGAATTGGAAACCTCCAATTCAAAAAACTGCTGATGTTGAAGTACTACATCAGCATTTCTGTCTTGAAAGACATTTCGTTCTGTACCACTTTTATTGGCTTAAACTGAATTATTTATCTTAAAGAATGCAAAATGACGTCATTAAATGTTCACACGAAACATGCTGTAAAGCATAAAATTATGAAGACGCTAAAGTAAACAAATCTATCTCATAGAAAGAAGAGTTTAACAATGAATGCAGAGTTCAAATTTTAATGTCAAGATGCTCTCAAACAACACTTAGAAGCGAAAGTTTCATAGAAAAGCAATATTAGTGTAAAAGTTTATTAGCTAGCTGTGTTTATACATAATTAATAAAATAGTAGTCAATGTCATGCTTTTATGGTAAAATATTGATTTATAATAAATTATTTATAGTGTATAAGTGCAACGCAATTAAAAAACAGTAATATACGAACAAAAAAAAAACGAAATAAAATCAAAGGTTCAGAATTTTGAAGGAAATTCACATATTCATAATGCTATATATCTATAAATATATATTATTTATATATTTCTTAATAAAACTGAAAATGTTTGATTAAAAAATTTGGAAAAAATCTAATCTCTTCGTATATAGTGGGTTATAGCTGTTATGGTAGTTGTCAGAGAAATTTAATCGTATCCATACCCTAAGTTAAGAACCTCATTTTAGTGTCACAGATCAATTGTGCACAGACAGAATTGCGCACATCAGGACAATAAAACAGATAAACGAGGTCAAGAGCATTCGCGGAGACTCACTTAAGGAGGATTTTTGAAAACTCTTCCTTAAAATTCATATCTCAAATGAAAACGAATAATTAAAAAAATCATCTAAAATATTTATTGGAAAGATTTGAACTCCAAAATCGTTCATTGTATACGCTTATGTATGGGACAGGCCATACGTCATAAATGGACACCAGACTCTCATCTGGTAAGTAACAGTTAAATATGCGGCTATGCCCACTTTTAAATCAAACCAAAGTAGTTCTTATTATATGGGCCTGAAAGACTTATATATTATTTTGATATACCGGCAGGCAGACTTTTAAACTCAGTCAAGTCAAAGTTTGCCTGCTAAATTTGATAGCTATATATCGCACTCACTGCTATCGACACGATTCAGTCGCTTGTATGACCAGCGAATCAAATATAGATTGATTGACATTACACTGTGTATTTACCTACATTGTACATAATGCACATTTTTACATTATTCCTTATTATATATTTATTATTTTAGCAAGTATGCCTGCTTGTTTAAATTATTTTAATACATAATAACTTACGTTCTTTTACATAGATTGGGGTCTTTTCAAATATATAACAATCAGGTGTTTTGTACAATTTGCTGCATATACAAATTATTCCGAAAATATTTTTAAGGAATGTAAATTATTTTCAAGCAATAGAGTAAAACTAGTTTTAAACTGTTCTATAGATTTCACAGAATCAAAAATAAAAAAAAATAAGCATCGCCGAATAGTTTATATGAAGAGTATAGTCAATGGATTTTATTGTCTATACTATAAGTCACTTAGAATATGACGATGCCGCAAGAGAGCTGTATATGTTGTATATGCTACAGTCTTCAGAGTGATTAAAGTTGGAGGAATAATCGGTATTACGTATCGAATTGCTTAGGATGGTCATAGTGTACCGTCCAATAATAATAACATCACATCGTTTACTTTAAAATAGCTCAGTATTCATACTTTAGAAATAGTCTGGCTTACAATCGTTTGAAAATTAGGAGTTCGGTGGTCACGAAAAACTGATCAACTTACAAAGAATGGTGGGAATATTGCTTTTACAGCACTTAAATCATTTTATGGGAACCACAATTGTTGAATATCAATTACGTATTTGTGATAAAACTGTTGACAATTTTCAAAGTTTAAAACGATCTGAAATCTGATTAAAGACTATTATCTTAACTGTACATATTCATGTTAACTATAACCTTTCAACTGGATTTTGATTAACCTAAAACTGTCTGAAAACTTAAACCGCAAAATATTGTACTGACAGCCTCGAAATCTATATAGCTTTATAAATAAATAGCTTAATAGAGCTAATACTAAACAATAGTTCTGTTCCACGAGCTACTCGGAGTAACTTAGAGTAACACTGTGTACGCACAAGTGTGTTCCACTAGCATATTTTCGAGCAAATGAGAGCATCTGAGAGAGCGTAACATCCCTGTCGAAATTTGAAAATGCCACACAGACTTTACTCGTACATTTTATTTCTAGTAAAATTTGTGTGACGTGTGAATCAGCTGTTTTGGTTTGAATTTAAATTTTTGTATTGTTTATTAGCGCGACAATGGTGTTCTCACCAGATTTTACACAAAGCTGTTCCATGAAAATCCCTGTAAAGAGCGTAAATTGGCAGTTTATTTGTGTTACGCTCTCAGTTTGTATTTTACTTGACTTTTACTACTCAAGTAGCTCGTGGAACAGACCTAATATCGTATTGTTGTTATAAAAAAATATAATTTTTGGTTGCTTATCTCGATAAAAAGTAAACTTCAGAGTATATAGGTATGTAGATAATGTAAGATTGAAGTGAAAGTGCAAGTCAAGTATTTGACTATATATATATATATATATATATATATATTATGTAGAATTATTTTACATAAAAGCCATAAATTTATTTATATAAAAATTTTATATTAAAATATATACAAGTACTTAAAATGCAATATAAAATATTTCATTCATATCCATTTATTTTAGAAATTTACAAAAAAAATTATTTAGTTAAACTATTTTTAATAAATTTTATGACTCAACTAATGTGAAAATAAAGTTTGTTAGGATTTCGAATTTACTGTGCGTATCGAAATATGCTTAGTCATTGTGCGCTAAATAAAAATACACTGAAAAAAATTAGTTGTACTACAGCAACTGGTTTAAGCGAAGCATTCTGTTTGTTCGATATATGTATATATTTACATGATTTAGTTAGTTTTAATTGAAATAATGGAGGAATTTATATATTTGTTGAAGAAATGATACGTATAAGTTGAATATAGACTATATTATCCTATATAAGGCGTATAGCCGTCTGTCAATCCGAACTGATGGTTCGCGAGGAAATTTTTAAGGTGTATGAATATAGGTTGAAAATTGTCAAAAAAATATATTGACATATTTGTATGGCAATTTTTTTTTGTTTAGCTTATTTTGGTGTCAGTCAATAAATATACAATTTAAGTCAATTAAAAAGGCTATAGATTTTGACTTAAATATGCATCTCTTCGCTTTACATCCTGTTCTTAATCACTTAAGATCAAATAGAAAATTGTATATGCCTCTTTCTTTAATCATAATTCACACGCGATGACTGATCTAAGCCATGCCGTGGACACTAGAGTCATAGGTCATAGGCATATGGTAACAGCATCATGAATTCTGATTATCACATAAAAAATTCAGTGTCGCTGGCTTGGTCATGTCGCGCAAATGCTTGAGCTAGAAAGATGTTTGATTCGGTACCTGGTGGTGGAAAACGCGGTAGAAGACGTCTGCAACTTCAGTGAAAGGACCATGTGACTAACGATATGAAACTATTTGCTACTACCAACCAGCAGGCTACTATTCGGGCTGACTAGATGAGGCTACTGGACGCGGTCAACGATGTCTCGCATCTGTAATGGCCAACTAAATTAATAAGTAAGCATCAGTTTTGCGGTAAATACTTTACTTTCAATATTATATAAACCAGATAAA